CAGAAGAGCAAACCACTTTTAAGTACTGTGAAACAAAATGAACCAAATATAACCACAAATGCAACGTTTACTCAGATTGGCTCTAATTATGGTACTCTTACCTACAACAACTCTAACACAACAGATGAAATATCTGCTCACAGAAACATCATTATTATGTTGATTATACTTATAATCAGAGTACAGTCAACATTAGGAGAGCCCACACACACACTGTAGTCATCTGGGAAGTGACTGTAAGACTGGTATATTTTCAAAACTAAAGCAAGATCAAATCTGCATCTTGAAAAGTTTGGCAAGAATTACAGCAGTATAAGGAAAAGAATGCCTGTGGTGTAAATCTAAATAATGGGTTATAGAAACATCTTCCTGTGTATAATGAAACTGCAGAGTTGCCCTCTTGCCATACACCTTAATCCCCACCAAATACTCTCCGCAATCATCCTGGTTTCTAACTACATAACAAGTGCTGGGGTTTAGTGGTTTTGGCTTTTTTTTTCATTTTTTTAACTTAAACCTAAAATGAGAATTACAATTAGAATATTCACAGATTTTCACAGAAGCTTTTCTACACAAATAGCCTCTCCATAGCCTATCTTGTTACATACATTTTTTCTACTGTTCCTTCACTAATAACTGCTACATCAGCAGTCCTAGAAAGCAAGTTACTTTGTTTATCCACCTTTGCCTTAGTTCCAAAAGTAGAAACATGTAAGTTTTTAAACTGTAAGGTATCAATTAGCTGTTCCAGTGCTCAGAACTGTGTCCAAAGAGCCCCAAGGTGTTCAGGCTTCCAACAAGCACCAACGACCTGTACTGCAGGTGTGAGCAGTGCTGTGCTGTGACACAGGTAGAGTGCAGTGACAATTTATACTAAAATAAGAAAAGTTCGGCATTTACGTCAAGTGTATTTAGAAAAGAAATATCTTTTGTGAAATAAGTGATTCCTGTGTTTGCACATGCCTGTTATAATTACCTAAGTAAACTGCTATTTCGATTAATATTAATTTGAACAAACAACTGCAGCAACTACTTTGTGTAATATAATATTAATTCACAAATTCTAGAGCCATTTCAAAAGCCTAAATTTTAAAAGGTCTTCTCGTGATGGAAATTCTTTTGGAAGGATTCCTTGGACTTTAAATTTAAAGCCAATTCTTTATCCACAGAAGGTAATTTAGCTGTTCAAAACTAAAGAATGATGAAAGAATTACTTAGCCATTCTGACACAGAGATTTAATTTACAAAATGTTTCATGCTCCTTAAAAAGGAACACGGCTACTTACCCCATCAAGATCTTTTTTTTAAAATGCTTGAATTTTCTACTTTTCAAATATGTATGTAACTTTACACTTTTGATAGTGTTTCCCTTTACCTGAGGAAATTATTTGATAAACTAGAACAGTATTGAATAGCAACTTACAAGCCACAGATGCCAACATTCAATTTTGAAAAAGGAGGATGGTAAGCAGAAATGTATTCTTAGAAATCTGTTCTTCCATATGCATAAACATGAGCAAACCTCGTGTACTTGCGCACACGTGTATTGGCAGCAGGGTAATGCACACAGGCAATATTAGAATCTGGGGTTTAAAAATCATACCCTTCATTTTCACATCAAAACCTCAAACCTATAGATAAGCTGGTTACATTCTCTGGGTGGCTATTTAGTGACATCTTTGTGAATACTCTGCACCATACACCACCCTTACAGTCCTGACTCTGCTAAGAAAACCTTTATTGTGGTACATATGGGTGCACCCAGATGACCATACAATGAACATTAAAACACCATCACTGGTGATTCTAATTGCATCTACCACTTATGTGGTTCCTGTTTCTATTCAGTTTTCCTTCCAAACACCATTCTCATTGTTAAATGGTCAGAATACACAAAGAGACAGATTTAGTGCCTCCTTGGCAATTTATATAACTGACTGCAACTCTGTTGTTGCAGTGAATCATGATTTATTTGTCTCACAATGCAGCACATAACCTTTTAAATGCTAGGGAAAAAAATGCCAGTGCCTCTTTAAAGTTTATATATGACTGCCCACCACCATTCCTCATGAACGAGGTTTTGAGAGACAAATGATAAAAACAAGCTGCAAATTCCACCTACCTACTCCTGGCCATTTCCTGTGTTCATCACTCACACGTACTGTATTTACAGACAACCAGACCACCAGTGCATTCTTTTAGTGCCCTCGTTTCCTCCTGGGCAGGAATATTTTTCTCAAATTAGTGATAGGTATTCTCTGCTAAACACAAAGAAGGATAATGCCAATCTCCCTTTCACTGCTGCCACGTTCAATCACATCAGGTGACATTACAGGCAGGCTGTAGGGTTTTATTTATTGTCATCTCTCTCCACACCAAAGTTGCAATCCCAAGGCCTGTTGCCTTTTTACATACCCTATTCTCCATGCCTTCTTCTGCACTTATTTCCATCACCTTCAAAAAACTGTTTAATGTAACACACACATGCCATTCTCCTCATCCAAATACACTGTTTTATCCTGATATTTTATACTGTGCCCATCTCCCTGGTAAATGAACATGTAATGACTCTCTGCTGTCCACCAGTGCCCAAACTAAGCCAGTCAAAAGCCTTCAGCAACTTTAATTATGAAAGTGATAATGAGAGAGAAAAGACTGTTTACTTTAAATGGAACAGCAGTAGCTCCAATTAATGCAAATAGGACCTACTCACTGCAAAACTATTTACCCAACATGTACAGCAAAAAGTATTTGGATAGTTCTGAGTACATTATAATTCAATTTTAAAAATTTAGGAGGGAGAACTCGGACCGCAGACAAAGATGGTTTTCCCTCATGTGGTGACTATGGCATTGGCAGTCCACGCAGTAGGTTCCAACCCTCTCATACCACCTGTCATTGGCAGACTTTAAAACTGACTGCAAAGGTGTGTGTGCTTCTCTAAATTGCCTTCACTTGCAGAAGGGAAAACAGGGCTGCAGAGATGAAGTGATTTTCTAACCACTCAGAGATTCACACTTGCCTGTGGCCTACTCCTACTTGATCTCAAACAACCCTTCCAAAGCTACCCTGGTGTTCCATTCCCTAGATGTGTGCCTAGATGTTTAATAAACAAGAACATTACTTTTGACAGTAAATATGCCTGCAAGTTGCACAAGTTACAACTCTAGACTTCAGTGTAATGTTCTTTGGAAATATACTTCGAAATCTATTTTAAACATTTGAGATAGTTCTAGCATTATGCACAGCATAGCCTGTGATAGAAATTATGCCAACTGATGATGAATGAAGGTATTGAGCAAGGCCATAAATTCAATAAATTAATAAATTAAAAGTAAAATTTATAGAATATCTTTTGAGTAGTAAAGACCAGAGGTAACAAAGGACTTAGATGTGTCAATGCACCTCAGCTTGATCAGCTGGGGCAAAACTACAAGTCCTTTTTCTAACAGACTGTGATACGGTTCTATAATGCAAACAAATGCTAAATAAATGGAAAAACACTTCCCCTGGCCGAGTTTTGCAGGTCAGTGCAAAATAAACATTGAGAACTTTCTTTCAAACATTTCCATTTCGGTTGGATTTTGATAGTAAAACCATTTAACAGGGATTTGCTGCTAAGCTTGTAAGGCAGTAGCATGTTTAGAATATTTAATTAGCCAAAGAAGGTGGTTAGACTCAGTGCAGCATTTAACGTTCACTTTCTGAAAAAAACACAAAGGCTGTAATTTAGGAAGCTACAGAAAAGTACATTTACAGATACTACACGCGTCTGAAATGTTACTGCTATTGAAAGAGACTTTATAAATGAATATTACTTACACAAAAAGCTAAAGAAAGTATACCTGTGTCAAGAAATAAACATCTGAAATGAAGGAAAAGAGAAGAAATTTCATCCACCAGTGGTGAGGGGGAAAGGCAAAAAACCCCATAGTGAGTAAATAAATAAGAGTCAAAACAAACATCTTCCCCTGCCTCACAGAAGAAAAGTAGACACAAAAAGCATAGGTTGCAGACTGTCACATTTAAGCACATAGCTGCCACATTCTCCAATGGGTCAATGCAAGTTCTTATGACAACAAATAATTTTACTTTATTACCCTAACTTTAGTCACTATCCTTCTGAGTTTTGGGAACTATTATTTGGAAGGTGCCAGTAGAAACAAAGCAGCTTCACCACGTAACAGTCCACAATAACAAAAACCAAGGAACAGACCCTGTGTAACAGCTGTTTCAAACATAGGTAGTTGATGGAGCTACATTATTCCCAATGAAAACATTTTTAAATATTTAAAGATCTGAAACCAAATTTTGGCTTGGGGTAAACAGGGACAATGCCCCTCACACAAAATGGAATACTGTAATGCAAATTCAGCAAAATCAGTAGAAAAAAATCAAAGAAAAACTCCAATTTATAGGTTAAAACGAGCCACCTATAACTGCATTTAAATGGCCAATATCACAAATTCAAAGTATATCAACCTGCTCCACTGCTTTAAGTGAAAGAGCTATCAATTCACTAAGAAAAGCAGGTTACTGAAAAACAAAAAATTCCTCTAATTTATCTATATTTCACTCTAGTTGATCAAACTCCCATTTTTACAGGAACACTCACTAAAAAGTCACTTATGCTGCTGTGCTTTTTGCTTAATATAATTCTGGCTAATCTAAATAGTGCTCTCAAAACCCAGTCGGAGACAAGAATTGTTTTGCAGACCCAATATTTATGATACATTATATAAAGTAAGATGCTATAAACAAATTGGCAGTCAGGTGTATTAATATACAGGAAAAATGTAACATGTAAAAAAGTAATAAAACCAAACACTCATCATCTTCCGGCTCCTCCTGTATATCCAGTAGGAGTCAAAAAGTGAGTATTTCTCAAGGAAAAGTAAATATTAGCTTATATAATGACTTAAGCATAATAATTTCAGAGGAAATACAGTGCATCATCGTTGTTATTAGAAAAATAAATAAATGATCATCCATAATCTTACCCAGTTCTGGGGGCAGCACAGTAAGACGATTTCCCTGGATATGCAGTTCCTTAAGCTGGGTGAGCTCACCAATTTCTTTAGGCAGTGATATCAGGTCATTGTCTCTAAGACTCAGCTAAGAACAAAAATAAATTCAGTCAGAACAATTTTCGGTTACCATAAAGCAGCTCAAAAGAGAACTCTACTCCCTCTTCCCCCACCATTCTCCTAAATGCTCAATTCTTCCAATTTATTTACAAGTGTCTTCTGGTAAACAAGAAATAGTTCCAGGTGTAGTGGTCTATTGCTGCAAACATAGCCTACCACTCTTCAAATTGACTGGATTCTATTCCTACAAGTGTTGCAAAAGTGAATTGATTTTCCAAGAATTTAGATAAATTACTTACTATCTGCAACTTTGTGAGCTTCCCAATATCTGGCGGCAGGATTTCAAAATCGTTGTCACTTAGATAGAGTGCACGCAGGGTGGCTGCAAATTAAATAGCAATATATAAACAGGGTGGCATATAACCCAACCATTTGAGGTCTAATCAATAAAAAGGAGTCAGGTTTGATTAATAACCCTGACTTGGTGGAAAGCCTTTGACATACCCAGGGCTCACAATAATAACAAGCAGGTCAAACTTAGATTTACTGGCTTATTGTATTGTTGATGAGTTCAAGAAAACACCTATATTCAAAAGGACTAGCACAATTAACAATTTCTGCAATAGTAATCTCTGGCAGATTCTGGCATATGGTATGAATGCTCAGATGTCAGAATACAGTCATTACTCTTTATTACCCCTGATTCTTATTTATTACATCAATTTGCATCCAAAACAAACATTTAAAAAAAAAATCTGAGTTTTTTTGACAAATACACATCTATGTTAAGCTCTACAGAAAGCATAACCTAACACTGGCAAAGAGATCTGAAATTAGAGCAATATAGAAAACTCAAACTGTGTAATTTGTAATTTCCATGCAAAGTCTCTATGAAATTCACAAAAAAAAAAGATGACCCAGCACAATCACGTAGCTTGCTATTATTGAATTAGCATACATGACAGTCTGAAAAACAAATTAAAATGGAGACTCACAAAGAACTATCAGGTGCAGCAGCAAAGAAGGTGGTCAGATCAGCGAAACCTCTCCTCCCCACCAGAGGAGATCCCATTTGTCTTACTCCTCCTCTTTTCATTTCAATAAATGTGACCATTTTTAATAACGCTGACTTAAAATTCTCCTCTGCCAGGTTACAATCACAACATCCCTCAGACAGTGGCACTCCTTCCTCTCCCCTCGCCTGTCACTTTGATGCTGAATGCACTGAACCTGAAGCCACTTCAGCAGAGTACATGGAAAAGATCGGTAAGGTAGCAGAACCACTGAAATCCAGAAAGTGCCAGAATTCAAGTTGCTTAGGCAACCATTTTGCACATATGCATCACAATACCTTTCTTTTAACTTGAGTGTATATTTTTAACATATGCAAAGGTCAGCTTAGGTCTACCATTCCTCCGCCAAGCTTTGTAACCCTAGTGTATGTTTTAACATACTGGACACTTCAACATCGACACGCTGATAAAACTATTTCAGTAACGAACCGTCAGGAACACATTTGTTTTCAGACTCAACACACAACAGTGCTGCAAAACTGTTTATTTTCCCCTGAGGCTTGCAACCCTCCTTGAAGTTTTAACTGAGTATGGGACACAAGGAAATATTACTCAGAAGAACTAAGCAAGTCTTCTCATGTCCAAAGGTGTCAGGTGACTGTATATCAGTGATAAATATTGCTGTGCTATGTAGAAGTATTCAAGATATATTAAAAGAAAAACATAAATATCAGAAAAAATTCTGCTGGATTTTGGTCTCCACCAAATAAATTTCAACTGCAGAAAGCAAAGCACCATATCATGAAGATTTGCAAGGTTTATAGAAAAGTTTCTTACTTAGATAGAAGAAGTTTCCTGGTAGGGAATTTTCATTTAAGTTGTTGTAAGTCAAGTCAAGAACTTCTAGAGCTGGTAAAGATCCAAAACCCCTTGGCAAGGTGTTTAGCCTGTTCATGCTGCAGGTAAAGAGGAAAGGAAAAGAACACGACATCAGCATTCACTTCATCTAGTAGGAATAATACAGGCCACAAGACTTGTTTTTTTCCCATAAAAAAATTTAATCTACATCAAGATTTCCTTTTGTTTTGAAAAGGAGTTGATGCTCCGAGATACTGAGCAACCCTCTTGACATGTGGATCTTTTTTTACTCTTTCACTCCAATAAATATATCCAAACTTAAGCACTCACAAGGGATTCTGTTTGTTATGTCAACCAGCAGCCACATCTGAAACATACAGCACAAGGGAGAGACGTATCACAGTGCCATGCTCAGCTTAAAAGTGTTCCACAGAGAAAGCTGGTTCTTGTAGATGACTAGCTAAACTACAAATTACCCTTTTGCACATCCTCTTGACCATGTGCCATTCTGCCATATACCACATAGTTCTTCACCATGGCACCAAATACAAAGAGGAATACCTCAACTGCACAGTATTTGTGTTCATTGATAACTGCTGCTCAAACCTCTTCTTAAGAACAGCAAATCTGTGTCACTAGACACATGGAGCATGAAATAAATAAAATGTCAGTCCTGTGATTGATAAGGCTTAATCTAAATATAGCTCAATCAGCCAGTCTTAAGAGGGTTTAGGATAGCAGTTCCCACTGGCAACAGCCATAACATAAGGAAAACTAAGAGAAGGAAGGGATTTCTCTGATAACCTGGAGCAGACAAGGCACAGAAAACAGTAACTTCTCTCTGACCTCAAAGAGCTTGAATAAGGTGATCCAGAGAGCTGCTGCAACAATGAAGGCAGGCACAGAGCTGGAGATCTCTTCACAGAACCTTACTGTTTGTGTATGAACTAGAGCTCTGGCTGTTTATCATATGAACAGAAAAGAATCACCTGGCAGTTTCATACTCATACTGCTCCTATTGCATGTACACCAAATATACACCTTGTGTGTATGGATCTTGCTTTAGTTGTCACCCGGGTTTGAAAGCAGAACAGAGAAGGTAGGCATCTTCAGGAAGAGCCTGTACAGGTAGCTATTGTCAAAAACGGGATTTTATTGTTATGTAATGACTGGAAACAAAGATGACCTTTCAGATGTTATCTCTAAACATATTCTAAATTTTCTCTTTTTGATGCTAAAGTGATAAAGAACAATAGTCACAACTGAAGTCAAGAGGAGATGATATATGAATGTATCTAACATTTAAAACTATAAAAACTCCAGTAAACGTACTAACAAATTTGGGTACCCAAAAATAAGAAAAGCTACACATCCATGGTAGCAAAGGCAGGAGAAGCACATACACCATTTCTTTCACAAACTCTCGTCTTTCCTCTCCCACTTTTGCATAAGTCGGCGCCACCAGAACAAGAACCTGTAGAGATCAGCTCTCTGTAGCTAAACTCCAGATGAACTCCTTCTTCCTCCTCATCCCTCATAAGGAGTCCTGTCATGGGCATACACCTACTATTGCTGCGTAGTAGTAATTATTAAAATACAGAAAGCTCCTCTCCACTATTGCTACTGCAGACTTGTCACTGTTTTAAAGACTGTTCTTTACAGCAAACAGGACTAAAGCAGATTGTTTTTCACTAGTGGCCCTGACAGCCTTCCCTTTTTTAACCAAAGAATAGGGTGAGAACGAATATTCTCCCTACTGACAATAGGCAGAATGGTATCTATCCTTTGGCATGCAAAGCGAACCAGCTCAAAGACCCTGCCCAGCACTATTTGGCCCTGTAAAAGTTCAAACACTGAGCTTGTGCCTCAGAAACTGTTCCTCACCTGTTGTCCGAATTTTACACTTTTAAGCTTTCAGTGTAGCAGTACATCTTTCCTCTTTCCACTCCACCACTTGACCTTTCTGCAACAAAACTCTCCCAAAAATAATCTCTGCTCTTATTCAAGCTTCCTCTCTCCCCTGGAGGACCGTTCTGAAGCCTTCTAACACATGCACTGCAGATGACAAAAGGGTTTCTTGGCTGCCTCCTAAAAAACCAGTAGGCCAGAAGAGTTTCCTCTTCACTGACTCCAAGGACCTGCAAAGCAGAACCCATTTTGCAGAGCTAAGGCTAGGCAGTAAATCCTGTACCTGGAAGATTATGTGTAAGGACAGGATTAAGAAGGAAGAGCATTTAATCTATAAGACCTTAGGCCACATGACACATGAAGGTGGCAACTGTGGTTCCAGACCCAAACGTCTGTTGGCCCTAACATCAAGCAGTCTTTTGCACTACATTTCTTTTTTCACTAATGAAGACTAGTATTTGAACTATACTAATAATTTTCACTGCTTTAATCCATGGGAAGTGCCCAACTTCTTCCTTCATGTACTGCAACATGTCTATAAATATGGATTTAACCCCCAAAATATATAGAATCCTGATTAATATTTGCTTTGAAAAGCAACTGTGGTTCAAACAGATATTAAGGAAAACTAAAGATGTACTATGACCAAATAAAGACCAGGGAAGACAGATCATCATTAAAACATTTACTGGCATTCCAATAGATGCAATTCAATTACCAGCACTTTACAAAGGTATCTAAAAGCAGGATACACAGAGCCTAGTGAAAATCGGTATTCAGAAGAGTTAGAAATGCTTAGTTTAAGGTGTTCAGAAGTTTGACTTTATAAAATACCAACATTCTTTCTATGAGAAGCCTATAGTGCTAAAGCTTATGCTTACCAGTGCTTTCCTAAATATTTACACTTTAATATGCCAATTTAATTTTAAGAAGGTCCTATGCTTTGTTTTCTTAATTCAAGAAAGTCCTCCACAACTGTAGTTATTATAAAGTATTACCAACTCTACTGGAATATATTGTCTGAACACTTAACAGAAACACTCCTGGCTCAAATTCAGTCAATACCAGCTCTTTGAATTAAATGCATACCACATCTAAAGATTTGCTGCTTCTTTTACAGGTTTAATATAAATTGAAATGTCTATAATCCCAGATTTGGAATTTTGGAATTAAAGTTCTAGATTAATGTGGAATCTTTTTTTTTTTTAAAGCAGAACAGGAAATAAAGCCTGATTCTTCTGCAGCAACTCCAGAAGTAAGAGGCAGTTGCTAGGGAAGTAAAATTCAATAATTGTTCAGTTTGACCTCAGTATGTGATGAATATGAGCTGCTTTGCCCTTAAATGGTTATCAGTATACCAGAGTAAGTGCTTGATCACTTCTAAGTATCTGCTTATTCAGGACATTAGCTGAACACTCTGAAGTCGTAATTGCCAAGTTATCCTCACAAATACTTGCAATAAGAAACTTCAATAGCAAAAAGAAACTTCAATTGCAAAAAATAAGAAGTTCCAGGTTCAGTTGCAATGACTTCTAATTGCACCTCTATTACAGAAAATTTTTGCATTAAGATACGCACCCAAGGTTCAGATGTTTGAGCTTCTGAAGGCTGCTAATCTGTGTAGGCAGCTCCTCAATCTGGTTGTTGAAAAAGTTGAGCACTTCTATATTTCTCAGGTCTGCGATGTTTGCTGGCACAGCTGTGGGAAAGTTTTCACAGTGAGAGACTGCAATTAGAGCAAGCTACCTAGACTAGAGATGCTTTTCTAGCACCTGGCGTTTGCAGTGACTGCAGTACAAGGAGCATCTCATTGTTACTGCAATAAAAGCAAAATTTATATTCAAAAAGCCTCCTATCTGGAATTCAAAACTTCAAAAATTACTATCAGAATTGTAAGATATTTTGACTAACAAAGACCACTGCAGAGAGAGAGACAAGGACAACAAATGCTCTTATAGACTAACAAACAGGCACAGGCTGTCATCTCAGTTCATGCAGCACAGACAGGTCTCAAAAGAGCAGAGCCTAAGAGACTCACATCATTTCATGATTTAAGTGGAAAAAAAAATGAATGATACAAGTAGTTATACCAAGACAGCAGTTGTACTAAAGGTCTTAAGCAACAAACAAAATAAAACCTCATTTTTAGCAATGGCCCGTTCTGTTTACTGCTTAAATAATCTAGTATCCAAGTTTTTGGTCATTTAAGATACATCAAAATTTATAAAAAATTAAGTTCAGCCCTAAAAGAAGAACTGTTTAGCCAAGCCTATTTTCAGTTACCTCCCTTGAGTGATAGACTGATCAATACACGCACATGGCTACAGTGGATTACCAACAGATCAATAGCTGGTTGTTATTATCTAGAAACATGAAATATAAGGCAGAAGCACAGTATGAATATGCCTGTGCTAATGAGGTTAAAAACCTATTCAGATTTGCATCTTTTCCCCCATAAACTTAGTGAGATTAAAGCAGCCAGCTGAGGTGTAAAGGAGGTTGGCAAGTCACCTGCACTGAAGCCTGCACCTGTGTTCAGTATTCACCTTGGTTCAGTCTCAACTTTGACTGCATTAGGAACCTGCAGAGTGCACATTTAAATAATTAGAAGGTTTTATGAGGCCATGATTTTCTTTTATTTGTTGGTATGAGGCAATCTCAGTCTTAAAATGGAGTCAATAATGTTTACAAAGCAGAACATTACAGTATGTCACATTTACTAGATTATAAGTCTGATTACATTGTGAACAATAATGGGATCCCTAAGGAAGACTCTAATTACATTACATAAATATTACTGTTGAGGGTCATATTCATTGCAGGAGGCTTTTAGCAGACTTTTTTATAAAGTTATTAGGTAAATCTGAATATGTAAAAGACCTCCCTTTGCAGTATTTTCCAACAAGTCCATGCCTATCTGTAATTCAATGACAGTGAGAATTATGTGTCTTCAGAAAGTAAAGAGTAATGCACTACTACTGCTGTTTTAAATTATTCCCTAACAGAAGTTAACTGAGGATTTTAATTGACATAATTCAGCTGTTTCCAGTCTCAATATTTCACCAGAACAGTAATTACCAATATTAAAATGTTTTCATTTCAGAAATTAGACTTTATAATTTGACTTTGATGATATGCCATGGACAGGCAAACCATGTTTCTGCTCTTCTCAGATACTATGTTCATGAAGACTAGGAATCAGAAGTACTAGCAAATACTAAGTTTTAAACTAAACAATACAGAGACCAAACACATTTTGCCTTAAGTTATACAATTGAGGCAATTAATAAAAATTTTGTTATGAAGGTTTTGGCCTTTTTGACAGTGTAAGAGGTTACACTCCTCTAAAGAAACCTGCAAATTGGCATCACGAGATGACCCACTGTGGTCCCTTCCAATCTGAAACATTCTGTGATTCTGTGACCCAGGTACTGAGCTACCTTGAACAAGCAACAGATTTAGTGGATATATTCTTTCAAATACCTGCCCAAACCAGCTTGTTTCCCCATTCTAGAATAAATTAATTCTTAAGTTTATCTCTCTCTTCTGCCTTAAGCTAAGAGACTGTGGAGAGATAAAGAATCATTTCGAGGAAGAAGGTGAACACTCCTCCTTATTTAAAAAAAAAAGCAAACAAACAAACAAAAACACAACAAAAACAAACCCCACAAAACTACACACAAATCCAAAAAACCCCATGAAACTACACAGAAAAAGATGACATGCAGACATCAAGGAGACAGGAAGAAAACAGCTTCCAGAGATTTGTTCACGAAGATTACATTTGCACTGAAGATCCCACCATCAAAGAGAACCTTAGTTTCAATGAGTCACTACACAGTTGAAGAATCTGGAATTCTACCCGATTATCTCACTTGCAAATACGGGGCAAAACTCAGCTACCACTGGCTAGTTTATTAGAGGTTTTCAATTTGGTTTTCTTTTGTCAGGGCACAGGTATGAGTAAGTGTCCCTAGGGAACAACAGGAGCTGTGCCCTTACACAGCTTCTGATATATCTGTATAATTCCCCCAATACTGTATTTTATGTTGTGAATCACACTTAGGATACTTTATATCATTATTTTCTCCAAGATATACTAAAAGCTGCATGGGTAAGCTATTCAGCAAAGGATTTGAATGAAATACTTCGTGTCTCACTCTGTTAAATTAAAATGAAAAGCCCTAATCCACAATTGTACTTTTGGGTTTGGATGGAGGGCATGGAGCTATTTCGTGAGAAGGAAAAACAGAAAAGTAGGTCAAGACCAGGCTTTTGGTAGGGAAAAGAGAGGACTTTTTTTCTGTAACAGCTTATTTTGTGGTTCAACAATTCAGATTCGTTTGTAATATGAATGAATGCTCTCTTGTATTCAATGAAAATGAGAAGATTCGAAACTCCCGTACTGTTCTCGTAGCTAAACTGCATAGGTTCAATACCTTCAGGTCTAAAGATCAGTGGTGGTCAAGCAAGGTTGACTAGTCATATCATGTTCTCTGTTCTGAACTTTACACAACCCAACTACCTTCCCACTGTTATGTTGCAAAATTCTTCCCAGATATATAGCAGACTGCCAAATCCCCAGACATTCATGTTCTGGCAATACTGAATTCCACTCGAGTCACCTTCTCATGATGAGCTGTGAGAGTGAACTGTCAGCATCCTGGTTCCATTCACCCACATATTTACAGTACGATCCACAGTGTCTTAACAACTCTTCTAAGACCATCTGCTGCCCAGTGTCATTAACAACTCCCCCTCAGCAAATGCTAGTAAAATTTGGCAGCCCCATCCCTTTGTGTTCTCCTGTGAAGCTTCAGTCACATCATGCAGCCCCATTCATATTAAGTCACACTTCACAAGACCAGGAGCAGCTTCCATCCCCTTGTTCAATATTGGAAATTGCATACGGTGATTCACTGTGACAGCTGTAGACTTCACCTTGATTTCAAGAGGTTGGCTGACAGTGAAAGACAGGGTCTACAGGCTGCTTACAAGGAATATGAGGACTTTGTTCATGTTTCAGGGAATTAGAACTGGCAACTTGTTATTCTTCAAAGCATTTATAGTCTTTTTTGCCCTGAAGTTAGAGGCAATTCTTTAGACACTAAAACATGTTCTCATCAGAGCAACCTTTCATTCAAGGTGAGTTATTACATTTTATTTCTACATAACCAGCAGGTGTTCAAAAGTTACAAAATTATTTCCGAAACATAAATAAGGAGGACTAAATGCTACTATTTAATGCCTATATAACTCTGCATCTAGAGTATCCTGAATCTAGGCCTTAGTTCTCTTCCCACACTGAGAACCAGACACAATCAAGGTCTGATGTTGCCCTCTGTTGGAGAACAGATACTGGGCTAGAAGGACCTTTCATCCAAGACAAACTACCCTGCAAAGCAACATACTAAGAACATTCAAATCAGTGACAACAGCTCGGAATTAAGTGCCTTTCTCATAAAGCAGAAAGTCAAAAGGTTCTCACACCACTACCGAGAATTGACATCCAAATCCAGTTCCTTTTGTATACTCAACCTTTGACAAAGGAGGAAGAACACAGAAAAAGGAAGATAAGAAAAGCAGATTTATTATTTTTTTATTTTCCTAACTCTGCCACTCCTTTGTCATTCAGTTAGGTCTTTGTGCAGCTGAAAATGCACAGGCTTCAGAAAGTCTTTATTTCTTAAAATAATCTCCAAGATTATTTCTCTTAAAGCACCTGTGAAGTCCTGGAAAACAACAAGGATCCTCGCTACTTTAAAAGTAAACATACTTGGGTGTTTGCAAAATTAAGTCTCCATTTCCTTTTACTTGAAAGATGAAATCTAGTCTGGTAGTTTTTTGTATTTAGTAAGGACCAACATTAAATTAAACATTTCTGAAGACACTCTTGGTAAAAGAGATCTATATCAAAACTTTCTTTACAGTTTAAAAATAAAATATAAAACCTTTTAGATAAGGAAGCTCAAATGAAAAAAAGTGACAAGAAACAATAAACTACCCAATTGGATAAGTGAAATGACTGAGTAAAAATGTTAGTCTCCATGAGATGAACACATGGTATGTAAACTTCTTTAACCATTTAACTTATGTTCAAAATAAACACTGTCCCACTGCTGGTTGGAGAAGGGCATCTGTAATACCTTCTCATGCATAAAAATGTGCATGAGTAAGGTTGCAATCTCCTTAATAACTATGACTCAAAGGCTATAGAAAACCTCCATTGAATTCAATGGTTTTTGAAACAGACATCAAGTGAAATAAGAATTTTAATTTTTAAAAATAAGATTAGTTCCTTTGGCATTCACATTCTCAAAAACTTCAGGCTGCACAAACCCTGTTTTTTTCAGAATGTTTCTTCTACTTAATGAAGTAATTTTGCAGTACCTAGGAACATGATGTTCAGTAATACTCCAGACCTTTACAGGTTCTAAGGGAATATTTATCCAGAAGAGCTATTTAAATAGCAATACTTGACAGAAAAGAGATTTATAAGACTATGCCAGTTTCTCATTAAATTGTTCCGCTTAAAAGCTGGTCAAGAGTCATACAGAGTAAAGAGAACTCAATACAGACCTTTGAGAGTCCTATCAGTGCACTGTGGATCTCAGGTAAGGTTTTCTTGCCAAGAGCAAAAACCCACTTTTTAAGCCCAAAGTAAAACCTGTGGGCTGTACAATACAATAAACCCAGTTC